GCACTGTCCGTAGACCACCGACGCCTCGGGGGGAGGGGGGCTGGAAGGGGGCGGAGGATAGGGGAGAAGTGGGGGGTTTGCCTGTCGCCTGCGGGGGAGGGCGAGGAGCGAGCGAGCGAACGGGGACCAAGGGAGGGGAGAGGGGGTGGGACGGACCGAGGCATGCGGGGGTGGCCGGCGGTGGCAGGAGGAGGCTAGGGCGCCGACGGCGGCAGGGGGAACCCTAGCGGGAGGGAGCGACAGGTTTGGTCCTGACTGTAGAACTATTGCAATGGGTGTCCCTTTACATTGTAGCTTGTAGCTTCCCGGCCTTTCCTTGCATATGTTAGAGGAGCTGGTTTCTATCTCGACAGGCTTGCACCTGGGATGTAGCTGTGATGGGTGTTGTCCAACGATGGCTCTTGGAACCTTGTGCCATCATGACAAACCATATCCCGCCGAAACACCAGTTCATTGTGGGAATTTACTTCTTTTCAACTGGCAGATTTTCGATGATATTGACCGTCTTGTATGCAGGATACATGTCCCATGGAACCCACACACCACTTCCACCCTCTACCGAAGCCTATGGTTCACTCTGTTGTCTTTCTATATCGATCCAATCCTCTCAATGCTCTCCTCTCCCCACCGCCCTCATCCTTTCTCCTTCTCTACCACCACACACAAGGCCTTGCACCACCACCGTCGTCGCTCTTGGACCACCACGCGTGTAGGTCATCCGTGCTGCTAGTGCCGCTATTGCAACCCATGGTTGGGGGGGGGGCACCGCGGTTACCTGAAGCCATGAAGATGATAGCCAAAACTATTGGCTACTTTAGTCACATGATCGCGATGCTATAAATCCCAACACGCGCTGCTGCAAGGGGAGGGAGATGGCCACCCGGTGCTTCTGGGGGCCAAAGCCGCGCCATGAGTTGTTGTAGAGGGGGGAGGCATCGGCACTTCAGAAGCAGTCGACGCTGCTACAAGGCCCGCTGCTAATGTTGTAAGACGATGTCGCTTACCATAGCTGCAAGGGGCGACATAGCACTTCGAGGCAGATGTTGCAAGGCCCGTAGTTGCTACGAACCAGAGCCCGCAATGGGTGTTGTCGTACTTCGAGCCAGATGATGCAAGGCTCGTCATTATTGTGGACCAGAGATGCGAGGGACGCCGCCGTGCTCCAAGCCATATGCTGCAAGGCCCATCGCTGTCGCAATCTAGAGCTACGAGGGGTACCGTTGTGCTGCCCGTCGGATTGGTGACGAGGGAAACCACATTTCCAATGACATGGAGATGCTGCAAGGGGTTGTCGATGCAACAAGGTAACTCGCGCATGTTGCGAGGGCGCTCGCCGGGAGTGTTTGGATGCTGCTTTGGCCGCCGAAGTTGTTGTGAGGAGTGGCAGGCCTGCTTCGGGGTGCTGCAGGCCCGAGAACCTCTGCCGCAAGCTGGAGATCCTACCGCGGTGAGCAGAAGGGGAGTGTTGCTATAAGAATGGGTGGCGCTGCTGCAAAAGGGAGCATCCGCGGCAACACACGGGTGCCACTGTGTGATATATGGGAGGATCATGCGTTGACCCCTTTTTTTGTGAATGTTGTTGACCCAATCCGACGGTCAGGCGCCTCATGATGGGACGGCCGCGGAGGAAGAAGATCTTTCCTGGCCCCAAAACCGGGCCTTTATTGCGTGCCCTGCGCCTGCTGTTTCTAAGAAGTTTCCGTGTCATTTCACTCAAAAAAGGCAAAAAAAAAAGAAAAAAAAAGGCAGTTTCCGCATTCTTTCACGGAAAACGCCTCCCGCCCCGGAATTCAGCGGGCCAAATCCGCGGACCCGCCGCGAAGGCGTCCAGATTCTGCTGGAATCTTCGAGGCGTGCCGCGCGCCCTCCCCGATTTTATAAGGGCCGTCGTGGTCCCGTCCCGGCCATCGCCGTCGATTCGCCTTGCAGGCAGGCCTCCGCTCGCCGCTCGCCGCTCCCCCTAGGTAAATGGCGCCTGCCCTCCCTCCCTCTTGCTCCGCGTGAAATTTCCTCGTGATTTAGGATTTACGAGCATCCTGTGGGGGCGGATGTGATTCGTTCGATGGGGTCTGGGCCGATTCATTCGGTATTCTGTCGGCGTCCCGGTGATCCGGGCGAGCCTTGAGTGGTAGGCTTCGGGGTGCTGATCTGCGCTCGGAATTGGATCCGTGGGCGCGGCTTGGTAATTTGGGGTAAATTTGGATTTTTCCTCCCGTTTGTTAAGAGATTGATTGAATTGATTCAGCAATTCAATATTCCTGAGTAGTTTATCAGAAATTAATCTTCTTCTAGAGCGTGAACTGTGAACTCAAATCGATCTGGTGTAGCCGTTTCTGGTTTCTAGAGGGTCTGATGAATATTCTTCGGTGGATAATCGACAATTTTTTTTGTTTGAGCAGGCTGAACCGTGTAGATTATTAGTGATCCTATTGCTGTCGGTACTCAGATTATTTTGTAAGTAAGTAGCAAAATCAACGTTTCTGGGAGTCCCTGATCATCAAGTGCCTTGTTTAGCTGAATGCCCTGTGGATTAGGCTAAATACTGAAATGTTTATGATTAGAGATGTATTAGTATTTCTTATTCCGTATGTCCGGAATTACTTGACGCTCAAATGGATGTATCTAACACTAAAATACGTCTAGATACATCTGTTTGAGCGTCTACATCTAGTGCCTCAAGTAATTCCGGATGGAGGAAGTATTATACTACAACGCAGCTGTATTTTAGCACAGTTGTAACCATGAGCAATCTTTATAGGTGATCTTTTTGTTAGATTTCCGTTTTGAAAAATTATCTTGTTAGATTAAGTTGTTTTCTATATTTATTTATAGACATGGATGATGTATTTTCACATTGGCCCAAAATGATGACCCTTTTGGTTTTGGGAGGTTTCATAGTACTGACTGAGGCTGGTGCAAAGAATAGGTTCTGTGTGTTGTGTAACTCTGCACTGTTTGTTATAACTTGTAGTGTTGAGGACTACATTCTCTTCTTTCTAGCAGTGTTGGTGATCGTTCTCACTTGAAATCGCAGGTTTCAACCCTTAAGAAGCTCAAGATGGCCGCCAATGTTGGGGAATCAGCGGCAGTTGGTGGCAGCAGCAGCGATGCAGCTGGAGGGAGCTTCGAGTGCAATATTTGCTTTGAGTTGCCGCAAGAGCCAATAGTAACTCTCTGTGGCCACCTATTCTGCTGGCCGTGCCTCTACAGATGGCTGCACATGCACGCCAACACACCAGAGTGCCCTGTGTGCAAGGCCATTGTTGAAGAAGACAAGCTTGTCCCCCTTTATGGCCGTGGCAAGGACCGCGTCGACCCAAGGTCAAAGAACACGCCTGGAGGCGACATTCCTCAGCGCCCAGCTGGCCAGAGGCCTGCTACAGCCCAACAGGCTGATCCGAACAACAATTTTGGCAACGCCCATGCAAATCCATGGTTCATGGGCATGGGGGGCGCGGGGGCGGGGGCGGGAGTTCCACTGGCGAATGGACGGTGGGGCAACTATGCGTTCTCGGCTGCGTTTGGGGGCCTGTTCCCTATGCTTAGCTTTCAAATGCATGGGTTCCCAGATCCAGCTGCATATGCTCAGCCTGCCGGGTTTCACTATGGGTTTGGTCACGGCCATGGGTTCCATGGCGGGCATATGGGGCACGCCCACGGCGTCCCCCGCCAAGGACCGCTAGGGCAGCAGCAGCAGCAGGCAGATGTCTACCTGAAGGCCCTTCTTATCATGGTCGGAGTTCTTGTGATCGCAAGCCTCCTCGCAGCTTAAAGTTGTTACTGCTATCATCAAAATTGTGGTGGTGTTTGGTAGGAGTTGCCAGAGCATACCTTTGGTGTAGGCTTATCTCTACCAAGTGGGAGACGAGTTAATTCTGTTCGTTCATGTTTGTATGAAGTGTCCATGGAGTTTCTGTATCTAGATTTGGATGGTGATACATCATCCTGTGTTTTGTAGTTTTGACTCCTTTGATTTGATAAACGTGGTGTACAATTGGTGGGAGGTCATCTCCCCGTGTCTGTAACCTGTATCAATCTAGATTGGACAGTGTAGATGAGTACATTTACATGTAATAATCCTCATGTTTGCACAAAGTGACAGTTCATGTACCTTTTGACAGCAAGTTCAAGGTGTTGCCATTCTTCGGAAAATATCGTTAAATTTGAATGTAGGATCTATGTCTATGCTTGTTTGTGAAGGTTGCAGATGGGATATTTCATCTTTGTTGGCTATCTCAGAAACTCTCACCACTTGACTGAATCTTCTACTGTAACGGCGAACCTGCTCCACACACAAGCAGAATCCCCTGTGGCATGTGCAACGAGACCTGTGAATTTGTCTGCACCCAGGCTATTCTGCTGAATCACCAGCAGCCTCTTGTGCCGACCACGCAGATGAACTGAACGAAGACAAAGCAAAACAAGCCTGAAACCCAGATTCCCTGAACAGTCATGGCACATTCTGTGTGATTCCCCATGTTCACAGATCGCACTATTTTCCTTAAAGATTGCATGGTTACACAAATCATCCACATGCGAACTAAGCCTAACTTAGATGGCCAAGTTCTTTTTGTGGAACTAGACTACCCAGATTCAAATTTTAGACCTACATTATGCAAGATCTGCCGGTACATTCTCTCGAAGGTGCTCATAGAAATAGAGTTTGCGTTTCTGTATTCATAGGGATGAGTGTGCGCGCGTGTTATGAGTTTCATTAACTCTGTACTGTGTTTAGAAGAAAGAAAAAAAACATCAATATACTTGGCTAGTTTAGTCGACGCGGGTATATCATCATCGAAATGTAGAGTCGTCGCCATGTATGATTGCACTGTTACGGCAACTTCGAATTTTCGATTATCTTTTACTTGTATTTTGGGCACCACCGATTCGCATCTATCCAAACCTTTTCCTTCATGGAGGTAGCTGTCCGAACTTGGCTGTACATGGAACGCCGATTCGTATCTATCCAAACTTTTTCCTTCATGGACGTAGCTGTACATGGACCGCCGATGCAATGCTTTAGCTTGCTCACTTTTATTTTCGCAAAAAGAAAAAGCTTGCTCACTTTTACGTTGAAAAGCTCTCCATTTCCATGGATGGTTTGCACACAAAAACAATGAGAAAAGAGTGGTGACTGCTCCTTCCGTACCATAATATATACTGTTTTAGCAATTCAATTTGAGCTGCTAAAACGATATATATTAGAGCATCTACGGCCGCGATAGGCAAGTCCGGGACCTCAAACGCCCACGGACACGCCCGAGCGCGTCCGCTGGCACTGACCGGACACGTCTTATTTGTTGGCTTGTACACTCGCATCCCTCATATCTGAAACCTCAAAACCATACAAAAGCATGCAACACTACGTAAGATGATCATCACACGCAGTTCATCAGATCGCCATTTCATCGCCGGACAAAAAGGAGCATAGTTCATCGGAGCAATGCAAATCTATACTACAAACTAATTAAAACATAATTTAAATTTAAACACAAGGGCGAAGGGCGGAGGAAATCACCATTTCCTCACCGGCCCCTTCCCCTTCCTGTCGTCGATGCGGCTATGCCCCTCCTTCGTGTAGGCGTTGGCGTGTGGTGGTCCGCCGCCGTCAGAGATAGAGGTGGAGCCGCTCGTCAAGTTGGAGTCTGAGCAGCAGCTTCGGCTCGACAGACTGCAGAGCAGGCGGTCTTGCTCCTTGGCATGGCAGGCCGCCTTCGCCGCAGTCTCCACGCTTTCTTCGAGAACTCGATGGCGAGTCAGAGTGCTTTGGCATTCTTGCGACAGAGGCACCGCGCATCCGTCTCCGCCGTTGTGAGAGAGCGGCGCATCCTTCTTCGCCGCCGTGAGAGAGCGGTGGACCGTCTCCGCCGTTGTGAGAGAGCGGTGGAGGACCGACACGAGGAGCGCATCATCGGGATCAACCAGCGCGGTCGCGCGTGACTGCCGTGCGGTCAGTGCCTCCCCCGCCGCCTCCCTCTCCCTTGCCTGTTGCCGCTCGTGCCTCGGACTTGGGCGTCCTCGTGTGCGTTGGCGCCTGCGCGGGCACAAGAAACCAGCGGTGGTCGAGCACCACTTCCAGAACAGAGGGAGGTTGTCGGCGTACTTAAACGACGGGAGCGGAGCGGCTAGAGCTGCGCGCCGAGCGGGACAGACCGGCGATGTCGCCGGCGCTCGTCGACGGGCGCCGAGGAAGAAGATCTGCCGCTGCCGCCTTGGTCAAGCAGTGAATGCCTCAAGGCGATGCGGAGGGCGACCTCCTCCACATCCATGGTCGAGGCGTCGGGTTCTCCGTCAGAGCCGCCGCTGCTTCCTCCGCCGGCCATCGGATCGAAGGGGAGGGGATTGGAAGTGGAGTGAACGGGCACGGGAGTGAAGTGGGGTTCGGTTTGACCGATGTCTAGGGTTTTCTGGATGGGGATATTTGTGGGGTCCGGATGGGCCAGGCTGGGCCAAGCCGACGTGGAGGACGTGATCTGCCTTATATTTAGACTAAATATGAGGAGTGTCGGTCAGTGCGGATGTTTAAGACCCGTTTAAGAAGCCCGTCTGGTTCTGTTTTTTATGACTGATAAGTGATCGGGCGGTCCGGGCGTTTAAGGCGAGTTTGAGAGCTCCGACTGCTCTTATGAAACATAGGGAGCACTACTCAATACTGCCATGCATGCTGCGCGCGGGCGCGGCGAGGGGAAGCTTCACGGAAGATGATGCAAGTTGCCGGCACTATACGGGCAAGGATGATCGACTGAGTCGTGCCGGGGAGTGGGTTGGGTAAGCCGATCTACGATGAGTGGAATGGCCACTGCCTAGCGACGGACCCTGTAGACTAGCGACCGGAGCACTGCACCAACAGTAAAAGGTATACATGCCGCTTGTCAAAACACTTGCACTTTTGTCCATCACAAGACGTAGCCTCCAAAAGGCGATGCATAGCGAAAACCGAATAGCAAGCGACATAATGCAACGTTGCCAATGCCAATGCCATGCATCATTTGTACCACTCGCGCCTATCCGTTATACATTCTCATACTTCTCATCTGCCGGATAATTAATACGGAGATGATCAGTGTAAATGCAATGTTGCCAATGCAATGCATCATCTGTACCACGCTGCATATTTCGAATTTACCCTAGATGTTGTCCGTGTGCTGCTCCTGGATCGATCAGTGTGTGCGTAACTAACCATCATGAGCGATCAGTGTGTACGTAGACCTGGAAATCTATTCCGGCCGTTCGCCCCATCATGAGCGCGCAGTCGAGTTGGTCGAGTACGTGTACGCGCCGCCGGGATTCTGTGAGGGACGCACAACAAAGACTCCGCTGGGTTTCCTTCCCGCGCTTTTCCACGACTGTTCTAGCGCTTTCGAGGGGCCGGGGGACATGGTAAGCCGTTTGAATGGACGGACGTGGTCTCGATCAAAAGGTAAAAAAAGGAGAGACAAAACATGGACTCGCGTGCGGGCAGCTGTACGTGCCTAACAGTGGCCTAAAAGTTGACCAGCGGTTTACCCGTTTGACATGCTCGCGGAAGTCACCTTGGACTTGCGGCGTGTTGCCTTCTGCGAGACATGAGTGCGTGTATGGTAGAAACTCTCTCTCTCTCTTTAATCCCATGGTGAAGCTCGGCTTATTGTCGGTGAGCACATTGGCTTTGGTTTCACTCAAGTTCATCTTGAACAGAACAATAGGATTGCGATAAGAACTTCTTCATACTAGTTAAGAAAACAAAGCTTCTTCATATTCCCTCTGTCTCGGTTCATTAGTCTCCCTCGTATTTTGTGTCAATTTTTGGCTGTAAATTTAACCAATAAAATATATGTTTCATTCATTAGAAATAATTCCATTCAAAACTTCTCTCGGATAGGAATCCAACTAGTATATAAAGTTTGTGGTGCGTAACTTATATTTTGTTAACTCAAAATTTCACAAAAAATACAAGGGGCGTTATAAATCCAGGCGGAACAAGTAATAACTGGTACACCTTCACTTAGAAAAGTCAATGTCAAATCTATGGTGCAACTCGACAACCGCGCTGAGCAAATGGCTGGCCCCTACGTTCCAGTAAGGCCTTACGAGAGTCCAATTGAGGAGAGCATTTGCAGTCAGCAATGGCACGAATACTTGAATTATTTTTGGCAATAAATTTAGATCAACTCGACTACTTACAATATGTCCGTGACAGGGCTTTTGGGGGGCAAATCCACAAAGTAAGCCTCAAGTCCTTGTCAAAATGTGTGGCTTATGCCGAGATGTATGGAATTCTCACATTTTTTTACATGGTAATACGTGTCTCATTCCCTCCGTTTCATTATCTAAGGTGTATTATTTTTGGCACGGTGACCAAGGCACACAATTATAGATGTGTTAGGACGATATTACCCTTGGCAAATTTATTGGTTAGTGGCAAGTAAATCAGTTAATCCAGAAAAGTAAGAGATACATGCAATCGACATAGATATAGTTTCCTTCTTTTGCTACAAGAAAAGATACAGACAATCAAGAAAGAGATACTTTCCTTTTTTTAAAGGGCTAACAAGGGAATTATGAGGAATGAGAAGATATGCACCTTACATTCTGGAATTTTATCAAAAAACAAATACACCTTATATAAAGGAACGGAGGGAGTATAAAATAAAGGTCTGACTACAAGGCACGTAAGCACCAACATTACAAGACTGAAAAGATAGGATAATCCTATGCAAAATACCAGCGCATGTTCCTCTCCTCCGATACCACCGAAGCGGCCACCAAAGAGAAAGAAAATATATCACCTCT